TTGATGTACCAGGGTATGCAGACATATACAACAGAGGTGAGAACTGAGATTACCTCGGGTCCCCAAGGGACAGGGAGACGCAGTATTATCGAGTTGTCACACTGAGAGAGGACACCATCCTTCAACCTGAGCTTAGAAAGTCAATGACGATATCAGTATACTATCAAAACAAGCTGTTCTTTGACATGGAGAAAGAGGTTTGATGTATTGTTCATTCAGAGGAAATGAAGACTTCAACCATGCTGACCTGAGATATCGAGTTATAGCAACGCTTGGTCATGGCAAATATATTGCTCTCCATATATTTAGTAAGCACAGTTCTGCTAAAACTGGCTGAGCAAGGAAAGACTACGCGAGACGGATTTGTAATAAGTTGTATGAATACATCCCAATGACAAACCAATTATAGGTCATTTTAGACCCAATTTGCCTAAAATCAGCTAGCATGGTTGCTTAGATATTATTATGGAAGGATGAAAAACACAATCACAAAGTGACTACATCTCATAAATGTTGCCTTTCTGTCCTTTTTCTTTTTCCTCTGCATAAATAGATTTACTATATTTAGTTATAGGTACAATCAAACACTGAGCTAACAAAGTATACAACTATGTCAACTTAGGCAACCTGACCTTTGGATCTTTTGGGACTAAAGTTGCAGCTGTTCAGGGATTAATGACAGGACCCATTATACATGAGAGTTATGGCTGTTTTTAGACCGTTGAAGAGGACAATGTGTGTAGGTTTTTGCCTATGGTCAAAATAGAATAGAATTTGGGCAGATCTGAGGTGGGACTGACAGTAGAGATCCATAGTTTGTAAAATGCTTTGGAAAAAGAGTATTTTTTATACCCACTTTCAAGAACAAGATAATCCATTACATTTTATTATGTGAACTAGTGGTTCACAGTGGAGGTAACCAGTAGCATTCTAATGCACATGCAGTTGCTCTGTTCTGAGGGAGGACTTAGTACCTTTGGCATTCCCATCCTTCCACGGGGAGAAAACACAACAGAGTCACCCTTTCATGGCAGGAATAAATGTCTTTGAGCTAAAGAAAGTGTACCACAGAAAGTTTACCTTGGTTTCACAGTGATTGGTGAGAATAATAATAAGCGGCTATTCCTAAAGGACATGGTTTATTTCTTGTGATTTTCTGCACTTGGTCACATGAAATCTCAGTGCTGCAAAGGAAGTCAAGTGACAGAAGACTTCTCATTACCAGACACTGTGATCGTAGGTCTGAACAGGAAGCAGCTTTCTATACACGAAGCAGCTTATATATATGTCACTGGTTGCGGGTCCCACAATGATTGATGTCTAAAGGAGGAATCATCTTTTATCAGGGCCTACACCCAACATATTATTAATAGTACTGGCCAAGAGGACAAATGCCCTTCCTGCCATCCAGCTCAATCCTTCACTGCTTTGTTCCCTAACATAGTTGCAGAAGGTGCTCCAGAGTCCAGCCTAGGTTTCCACCAGCTTTGACCCATGAAAACATACACCAAGGTTATCCACAGTTATTTTTTCAGTCTTGTGAGGTATTCAAAGCTTTTGCAATAACGTGATAAATGGATTCCTCTCTAAGCACAATTGTGAGTGCAACCAACTTGGTAAAACCTTATGTGGTAAAGCAAATACGAATAAACATTGACAGCAGTAGCTGCAAATCATATTCTTTCATAACAGATTGTTTTGTCCCGCTGTGGAGTAATTATGTCCCAGTTGGAGCTGCAAATCCTTCTAAATATGGCAAACTATGAACTTGTTAACATTTAAAGATTTCCCTGCTGTGTTGTTGAAAGCAGCTGAACATGTGAACATCACGTAAAACAGAAAATACAGGTAGCCATAGTCATTATTGATATCTTAAACCTATGCATGTAAATCAACAAGTATACAGGTGCAGTGAAACAATTAAGGCTCTATTTAAACTAACCATACAAGGGGACAGAAAAACTGGCCTGTGAGGAGATACAATACAATATTTGAGGAGACACAATACAATATCAGGCTCAATAAAAAGAGATATTTTTTTTCTACCAGTAAAAGTGGAGTTTTACTTTAACCCTTTAAGCAAATGCCCTAATTCAAAATTAATCTAGCCCCAAGCTTAAGGTGGAACTAAAGTCCCACATTTAAAAAAAAGTACTAGCAGTTAGTGTTTTTGGTAAAAGCTGTGAAAAGTCTCTTTTGCGAAAAAAAACAAACTATTTTTTGCTTGCAGCTCCTAGCAATGTAATGTCCTCCACCCCAAACTAGCTCATCCATGTCTTTATGCATCTTGCTTTGTGCACTGGTGTGCAGTATGTTGTAACAGAAAGGGGTCATCCCCAAACTGTTCCCACAAAGTTGAGAGCATGAAATTGTACAAAATGTTTTGGTATGTTGAAGCCTTAGGAGTTTCCTTCACTGGAACTAAGGGGCCAAGCCCAACCCCTGAAAAATAGCTCCACACCATAATCCCCCCTCCACCAAACTTTACACTTGGCACAATGCAGTCAGGCAAGTACTGTTCTCCTGGCAACCACCAAACCCAGCCACTGATCTGGAATCCAGTAGTGGCATGCTTTACGCCACTGCATGCGATGCTTTGCATTGCACTTGGTGATGTAAGGCTTGGATGCAGCTGCTCAGCCATGGAAACCCATTTCATGAAGCTCTCTATGCACTGTTGTTGTGCTAATCTGAAGGCCACATGAAGTTTGGAGGTCTTTAGCTATTGACTGCAGACAGTTGGCGACTTCTGCACACTGTACGCTTCAGCATGCGCTGACCCACTCTGTCATTTAACGTGGCTTATTACTTTGTGGCTGAGTTGCTGTTACCAGTTGCTTCCACTTTGTTGTAATACAACTGTCAGGGCTCCCAGGTATGACCAGAGGTGTGTGACTGAAGCAGGGAAACACAGACTTCAGATATGTGATTAAACAATGTAATTTATTAACACTAACAATACAAACATAAACGCAGTGCAATACTAAACATAATACAGTGCAAACAAACCCAACCAACCACCCACAGATAACAGTACATACAAGCAAGCGTCGTCAGGCAGGCCGAGTCAATATCAATTGGGCAGGTAGGTACAGGGGGAGCAAGCGGAGAATGGTCGGGGTCACAGGCCAGGTTCAGCAGGTAGCAAGCAGCGTAGTACAGAGGGTCAGGCAGAGGGATGGTCAGGGTCACAAGCCAGGGATCAGAACAGGTAGCAAGCAGCGTAGTACAGAGGGTCAGGCAGAGGGATGGTCAGGGTCACAAGCCAGGGATCAGAACAGGTAGCAAAGGAACAGAAACAGGATGCAGGACAGATACAGGGCCCAGGACAAACACAACACCAAGGCAGAGTCTGCAAGTCTGGCCATCCCTTAAATACACCAGAATCATCAGTTCCAGGTGTTAGCTGGCTGAAAGGTTGAGTCTCTGATTGATTGCTGGGAGCACCCGCTGGCCAGCCCTGGTACTGCAGATCAAAAGGCAGGTGAGTCCCACCATTGCTGGCCAGTCCATTCCTGACAGTACCCCCCCCTCAAGGAGCGGCCTCAGGACGCTCCAAACAGTCCTAGCTGGGAAAAATGTTCCACCGCCCGGGTCGGGTAACTGGCGGGATATCAAAGACTGGCACACCGGGCAGGACTCCGGGCAGAGGCACATCGGGCTGGACTCCGGGCAGAGGCACACCGGGCAGAGGCACACCGGGCAGAGGCACACCGGGCAGAGGCACATCGGGCTGGACTCCGGGCAGAGGCACATCGGGCTGGACTCCGGGCAGAGGCACATCGGGCTGGACTCCGGGCAGAGGCACACATCGGGCTGGACTCCGGGCAGAGGCACATCGGGCTGGACTCCGGGCAGAGGCACATCGGGCTGGACTCCGGGCAGAGGCACATCGGGCTGGACTCCGGGCAGAGGCACACCGGGCAGAGGCACATCGGGGGACTCCGGGAGAGGCACATCGGGCAGGACTCCGGGCAGAGGCACATCGGGCAGGACCCCGGGCAGAGGCACATCGGGCTACCAGGCGAAGCGGCAGGCAGCGGGCCACCGGGCGGAGCGGCAGGCACCGGGCCCCCGGGCGGAGCGGCAGGCACCGGGCCCCCGGGCGGGCGGCAGGCCTCCGGCCCCCGGCGGGGCGACAGGCCTCGGGCCCCCGGGCGGGGCGACAGGCCTCGGGCCCCCGGGCGGGGCGACAGGCCTCGGGCCCCCGGGCGGGGCGACAGGCATCGGGCCCCCGGGCGGGGCGACAGGCATCGGGCCCCCAGGCGGAACTACAGGTCTCGGGCCCTCAGGCGGAGCGGCGGGTGCGGGTGCCCCCAGATGGAGCGACAGGCCTCGGGCCCCCAGGCGGGGCGACAGGCATCGGGCCCCCAGGCGGGGCGACAGGCATCGGGCCCCCCCAGGCGGAGCGGCGGGCGCCGGACCCCCAGGCGGAACTACAGGTCGGGCCCTCAGGCGGAGCGGCGGGCGCCGGACCCCCGGGTGGAGCGACAGGTCTCGGGCCCTCAGGCGGAGCGGCGGGCGCCGGACCCCCCCCGGTGGAGCGACAGGTCTCGGGCCCTCAGGCGGAGCAACAGGTCTCGGGCCCTCAGGCGGAGCGGCGGGCGCCGGACCCCCCCCAGGTGGAGCGACAGGTCTCGGGCCCTCAGGCGGAGCGGCGGGCGCCGGACCCCCAGGTGGAGCGACAGGTCTCGGGCCCTCAGGCGGAGCGGCGGGCGCCGGACCCCCAGGTGGAGCGACAGGTCTCGGGCCCTCAGGCGGAGCGGCGGGCGCCGGACCCCCAGGCGGTGCGACAGGTCTCGGGCCCTCAGGCGGAGCGACAGGTCTCGGGCCCCCAGGCGGGGCGGCGGGCGCCGGACCCCCAGGTGGAGCGGCGGGCACTGGACCCCCAGGCGGAGCGACAGGTCTCGGGCCCCCAGGCGGAGCAGCGGGGCACCGAGTCACCAGGCAACGACAGTGGGCTCCGAGTCAACTGGCATGACCGCTGGCACTAGGTCAGACATTGGATCGTCTGGCTGGACAGCGGGCATCGGGTCACCAGGCATCAGGTCATTTGGCTCGACAGCGGGCACCGTGTCATCTGGCAAGGCAGTGGGCTCCGAGTCAACTGGTATGACCGCGGGCACTGGGTCAGACATTGGATCGTCTGACCGACAGCGGGCATCGGGTCACCAGGCATCAGGTCATTTGGCTCGACCGCGGGCACCGCGTCATCTGGCAAGGCAGTGGGCTCCGAGTCAACTGGTATGACCGCGGGCACTGGGTCAGACATTGGATCGTCTGACTGGACAGCGGGCATCGGGTCACCAGGCACCGGATTGTCTGGCTCGACAGCAGGCATCGGGTCACCAGGTATGACAGCAGGGCACTGGGTCACCAGGCATCAGGCATTTGGCTTGCCAGCGGGCACCGCGTCATCTGTCAAGGCAAGGCAGTGGGCACCGGGTCACCAGGGTCACAGGCATTGGATCGTCTGGCTCGACAGCGGGCATCGGGTCACCAGGTATGACAGCGGGCACTGGGTCACCAGGCATCAGGTCATTTGGCTCGCCAGCGGGCACCGCGTCATCTGGCAAGGCAGTGGGCACCGAGTCACCAGGTACGACAGCGGGCTCTGAGTCAATTGGCACGACAGCGGGCACCGGATCAGGTACCGGATCATCTGGATCAACAGCGGGCATCGAGTCAACTGGCCTAATAGGATCGTCAGGCTGGATCAGTTCATCATGCTGGGTAGAGGCATCAGGCTGAATGCCGGCGTCCGGCTGAGTAGAGGCTTCAGGCCGAGTAGAGGCTTCAGGCCGAGTAGAGGCTTCAGGCCGAGTAGAGGCTTCAGGCCGAGTAGAGGCATCAGGCCGAGGCATCAGAGTAGAGGCATCAGGCCGAGTAGTAGAGGCATCAGAGTAGAGGCATCAGGCCGAGTAGAGGCATCAGGCCGAGTAGAGGCATCAGGCCGAGTAGGCCGAGTAGAGGCATCAGGCCGAGTAGAGTAGCATCAGGCCGAGTAGAGGCTTCAGGCCGAGTAGAGGCATCAGGCCGAGTAGAGGCATCAGGCCGAGAGGAGGCATCAGGCTGAAGAGAGGCATCAGGCTGAGTACCGGCATCAGGCTGAGAGAGGCATCAGGCCGAGTAGAGGCATCAGGCCGAGTAGAGGCATCAGGCTGAGTAGAGGCAGGCTTCAGGCTGAACCACGGAAGGCAGGCTCACCGGTTTGGATACTGGCAGGATGGTATTGGTTGGAAAGAATTTTCGCTTTTTTCTGGTTTTAACTACTGGAGCACTGCAAGTAAACGCAGGTCTGCAAACGAATGGAGCAGCTGGAGACAGAGAAGAACTGGAGGATGGAACAGGAGAGGGAGCAGTTGCTACAGAGGGCTTTTTTACAGGGTTAAAGGCAGGATAGGTGCAGCGAGTGGGAACAGGGTACTGACATGCGGTAGATAGCCAAGTATACTGGGCTGTAACTGGAGGAGCTGTTGGGAATACAGGAGTAGAGTTAGAAGCAGGACTGGGTTTTTTTGTAAGCTGACTGAGGCTGGGTGCAACAAGTCTGTCCATGTCTGCAGTATGGGTTGAACAAAGCTGAGCTTACACAAAGCCTGTCTGGTCAATGACTGCACTGCGTTTATACAATCTCTTAGTGTCTGTGGTGAACATGTGGAATAACGCTCCAGAAAGTAACCCACATCATCCTCTAATAACCACACCAGGGACTCTACCTGGTCTGCACTAAATGGTGGCAAAAATTCATCCCTGCATTCGGGGGTACCAGATGAAACCAACTCTGCACAAACCTCAATCAATGGCTGCACCTCAGAGAACTCTGTGCCCTGATCTACTAGAACATGAGCGAGCCGTATACATTCTAGCAGTTCATCCCGGGTATACTCCTTCAGAGTTTGATAAGCATACTCCCTGTCATCAAACACTAGCAGATATAAATACGCAACCTCATCCAGATCCATCCTTCCCATCAACAAGCCAAGATGGCTTCCCTGTGCAGCCACTTCTGGTCAGGATTGGCCTTGGTGTAATGTCAGGGCTCCCAGGTATGACCAGAGGTGTGTGACTGAAGCAGGGAAACACAGACTTCAGATATGTGATTAACAATGTAATTTATTAACACTAACAATACAAACATAAACGCAGTGCAATACTAAACATAATACAGTGCAAACAAACCCAACCAACCACCCACAGATAACAGTACATACAAGCAAGCGTCGTCAGGCAGGCCGAGTCAATATCAATTGGGCAGGTAGGTACAGGGGGAGCAAGCGGAGAATGGTCGGGGTCACAGGCCAGGTTCAGCAGGTAGCAAGCAGCGTAGTACAGAGGGTCAGGCAGAGGGATGGTCAGGGTCACAAGCCAGGGATCAGAACAGGTAGCAAGCAGCGTAGTACAGAGGGTCAGGCAGAGGGATGGTCAGGGTCACAAGCCAGGGATCAGAACAGGTAGCAAAGGAACAGAAACAGGATGCAGGACAGATACAGGGCCCAGGACAAACACAACACCAAGGCAGAGTCTGCAAGTCTGGCCATCCCTTAAATACACCAGAATCATCAGTTCCAGGTGTTAGCTGGCTGAAAGGTTGAGTCTCTGATTGCTGGGAGCACCCGCTGGCCAGCCCTGGTACTGCAGATCAAAAGGCAGGTGAGTCCCACCATTGCTGGCCAGTCCATTCCTGACAACAACTAACAGTTAACCGTGGAATATTTAATAGCAAGGAAATTTGACGGATAGACTTATTGCACGGATTTCAACCTATCATGGTACCACGCTTGAATTAAACTGAGCTTCTGAGAGCAACCCATTCTTTCACAAGTGGAAGAAGTCTGCATGTCTATGTGCTTAATCTTATACACCTGTGGCCATTGAGGTGATTGGAACACCTGAATCCAATGATTTGGAGGGGTGTCCCAATACTTTTTTGGCAATATAGTGTAGCAATAACCCCTGAGGAGAATGTACCGGGTCCCATCACCTGTTCAGTAGCATGCTGACAAGTTTGGGCTCCAGGCTAGAGGTCTTTTTATGGTTTATTGCAGTTCTTAGCCAAAAATACAGAGAAGAGGATTAAGGGTGCAGGATGCCCAAGGTCAGGGGTGGACTGACAACTCATGGGGCCCCCGAGCAATAGGGGATCATGGGGCCCCTGTGTCCTTGCCCAAACTCAAAAAAGCCTATGAAAAAGGTACCAGGGGCATCTCATGGGGCCCCCTACTGACCCCGGGCCCTCGGGCAGTGCCCGAGTTTCCAAATGGTCAGTCCGCCCCTGCCAGAGGCACCTAAAAAATTTGGAGAACAGCTTCCTGAATATTTTATCCTAGTAGTAGTAGATGCTTCAGTAGTAGCTTCAAAATAATGCTGATGGAGAAGGAACACCCAAGTAAACCTTTGACGCAGGCAAAGTCTTTCAGTAATAAATCCTGGCATCTAACCCTCAATAAGTACTTACAATATCTAGACCTTTAGTCCTACCTCTCCAGCCAAGCTTGAACAGGTAATTGTACTCAAGCCCCAGAACATAGCACCTGCTGAGGCCTAGTACTAACTTCTCTGGAACACACAGGAATGCCATCTCCCAGGGGAAACCCCAGGGGAGACAGAGAGCATCTGATCACCTCCTCCCAAATATTTATCTTCTCCCTTGCCACACCTTTTGGGCCAGCCTCCCAGGGATTGGCTAAATAAGACAAACATTCAACAGTTGTTGACCCTCCCACTCTATTATTATTATTATACAGGATTTATATAGCGCCAACAGTTTGCTCAGCGCTTTTAACGGGAGACAATACAGCAACAATACAGTTCAATACAAAAGGGTTAGAAGGGCCCTGCTCCTTGGAGCTTACAATCTAAGAGGTAAAATTTGCTAGAACATTCTTCCAACAACATGCAAGAGTCCTAATAAATAGATTTCAGCTACAGCTCAGCCATAACACTAAATTTAGCCAGCCCAGGGCAGGGGCGCTATATGAGTGGTTAAAATTTCTGTTTATTTTTTTTTTGTCATATGGAAATGTAAATCACTTCTTGTCTTGAGATATAATGGGAAGTGGGAGGCGATCTCTCCACAGTAAGGGTAGTGCTCCTTTAAACAATTGTCACAGTAATCACCAGTACACATAGAGAAAGTAAACTTCCCTATTGGTTATATAGACAGCCAAAAAAACACTCCAAGTCCAGTCCAAGTTCACACTGAATGCAGCTTTGAAATCGTGCTACTCCACATGAAGTAGCACGATTTCAAAGCTGCTGGTCAGTGCGATTTCATTTGCGGTTTGCCTGACATCTGTGCGACGTCTTGCACAGATGTGTACGCACGTCGCACATGAAATCGCCAAAAAAAGTGCAGGAACCTTTTTTTCAAAATTGGTGCCGCACCACAAAGTCAGAGCCGCACCTATTTGATACAAATAGGGTACGACTTGTCATGCGATTTTGAACTGTCAAAACACAATGGTGTGAACGGGGGCTGAAAGGGTTTCTAATTCCTCATCACTTTTATACAAAACTAAAAGAAAACATTTTGGCTTTTAGGACTTATTTATGATTGTGTAATCCAATAGCACACCTGTATTAACGTGCATTATTTCAGGAGTTAATATTTACTGCATTAAGGCAACCAAGTGAAATCAATAGGTTTTCTTTGCACCAAAATGCCCCAATAATCAGACATGTAATACATTTTTTGCCGCAATGCATGTGTATTGCTTTACGGTACTGTGGTGCTATTCAATTTAAATGGCACCACAGGGAATCAACACATGTAATGTGCATTGCCATGTGTTGTGGTAATTTAACATCATGCATGTTCTGCAATGCACAAATCAGCCCTTGAAGTGAAATTTAAAATAATGTTAGCAGATATAATAATGCTCTGCTTTCTGATTCCCTGGGATTCCATATGCTAGTTCTGACAGTTGGAGAATGTCTGGCTGCATCCTGCATTTTTCCTGGCCACAAATACAAGCTCCTTCTGAGTACAACCTGGGACACACAATTAAAAGAATGAAAATCTTCTTTCTGTGCTTAACTTGTCAAGAAAAGACTGCATACATTGATGATTCAACACAAAACCAACCTTTGTTGATGCATTTCACCATTACTGACTTGCTCACAAGGATAGGGGACTTCCCCTATCCTTGTGAGCAAGTCAGCAGTGGTGAAGCACATCAAGAAATATTGGTTTCAGGTGGAGACATTAATGTATGCAGTCATTTTTTGACAAAGTTAACACTGATCTTTCAGAGCTAGTTCTGGTGTACAGCCTATATTTTTTATACTTTTAACTGAGAGTGGATATGGGCTGTGGTAGCCAGCACCTAGGTTGTCTATGTGTGATGAAAACTGCAAATCTGGAGTGGAGCCATAGGTTTGGGAATGTTCTTGGGACACACAATCCCTCTAATGTGTCTTGCATATCCTTCTACTTACATTTAGCAGATATCTACTTACAATCACCCAGACATCCTAGCAAAATACACAAACTATTTCAAGTGTCCTGTCAGCTTACAAACAACACTCAGATTTCCATTGAGGTAACTGAGGCCTTTCTTCAATGGAGTCTGTAAAGTTTGTACTTAAATTACGTTGAAGGGCACCTCATTTGCAAGGGAAGAACTATAGACAGTCATTTAACTTATGGAACATTTCCTCTCATCATAGATTCTCTACATGGGGCTGAGTAAGTTGAAAAAAAAAAACAATAAGAAAAAAAGTCTGACTTTCTTTCAATCAGCTGCCGGAAGGATAATCAGACGCAGAGGACCGAGCACACAAACACACATCTGTCTGATTGATTCTCATTAGCCAATGAAATGAATAGACCTCCATGTGAGAAGCCCAGAAGAGTTTCTCCTTTCAGGTGAGGCAAGGATACACAGCAAGATGTAGGAGAAGAGTGCATTGTGTATGTTATTTACTGTTAAAGCTGCCAGGAATGCTGAAGTACAAATCTGAAAACTGTCATCTGCTGTCAATAGTCCTTAATAAGAGTCTTTAGAATTTAAATGTTATATTTTTTTAGCATTGCTTGTTCTGTAACATCCAATGAATGGGCTTTAAATGTAAAATAATACAAAGTATATCTCTACATTCCTGTGTGATTCTCGTGAAATTCAGTGTGATTCTATTTTTAGGCCATTCATGTGAAGGGGCTGAAATCACACTGGATCACACCAAAAGTAGAGCATACATTACTTTCAAAATTACACTGCAGCCGGATCGCATGGTCCTGCAGTACCATGCAATCTGGTGCAGGCAAACATACCGAGTTTGCATTTGGGATGCCTTTAGGAATCTATTGACATCTGCAGCAGATCACACACTCAGTATTATTAAAAAAGTACAAAGAACACGGTTTTCCGGTGTGAACCAGCACTCAAAGGTTTGCACTTTATTCCTGTTATGGTGACAACTCAATATCCATTTTCATTCCTGTTAAAAAAAAATAG